GAGTTATTTTTGATGGAATGGCTGATGTCCAATGTTTAACTTTATCGCTAATATCGGCCGATACCGTTACCATGCTGATATCGTGCATCCCTAAAAATATTTTCTTTCTTTAATCACGTGTGGAGTTTTTGTTTTTAAGTTTAGCACTTGCGAGTCAGAAGGCTGTTTTAAAGCTTACTGTTTTAAAGAGATTGTAGAGAATTCATATGTTGCCTGTTTAACAACACTCAAAGCTATTCTTTATGCACTGCTCACAAAAAGCGGAAGTTTCTCCTTTAAGGGACTGTTTTATGTTTGACTTATTTCAGCTGCCTTACAAAAGAGATGGGTTTCCCTTTTAATGAAAGTACGAAACAAGTCTTCATTTCTTTTTTTTCAGTTTGGGAAGATGCACACAATTCAGTTCAGTTTATTTATATAGCGCCAAGTCACAACAGAAGTCATCTCAGTACAGAAACATTCAAAAATATATTAAAAAATAAGTTAACAAGTAGCAAACCAAACTAAACCACAGCACTATTGATTTATTTGTAATTTGAAAGTAATTGTGCCTTTTGCATAAAATATTATTCTCTGCTGTTCTACTCTTTTTTTAAAGTAACGTTAAAAACTTGACACGCCAACATTAGCTGTGTTATTGGCCTCAGTAGCAAGCCTGCATATTTCACCTGCTACATCTTAATTAGCTTTTTGCAAACATTTGTTTCAAAACAGTGTTATTTTAAAAAGAAATGAATGATATTAGCCACGACTGACTGGAAAGTCCATCATCCATTGGATGAAACGCCCAAGCAACCAGCGACTTTCTTTTTTTTCTTTTTTTTTAAATCGAGCATAAAATTTAGGGGATTTCGCCCTTCAGTTACTGCACATGTCAAACTGAGAGCTTGAAGCAACGTGTCCGGTAATAACGAAGAAAAATTAACAAAGTGATGCACTGTCTCGTCTTGTTTTTAGGCATTTAAACTGCAGGAATGAAATGACTGAAAACCTTAGTGGTTTTCACACTGAACTTTTAACAATGTAGTAGATAACTGGTTATCGGCCCATGCGTAGTGGTGCGTGTGCTCACAGTGGCACCTCCAGCAGCATCGGCTCTCCAGAGTTTAATGGTTTTCTAGAAACGGATAGTTGATTGAAAAACAAATAAACAGAGATGATGTTTTCACTGTTTCTTATTTATCGTCTTCGATTCTAGGAGCGATTGCAGCTGCCTTTACGTTTGTTGTTCTCCGCAAGATGGGGAAGAGCGTCCACTACTACCTGTCCGTGTGGTACTACGCTGTCATCGGTCTCCTCGAGAGCATCATCACCGTATCCATCCTCGGCGAGTGGAAAATGCCAAACTGCGGCCGCGATCGCTGGATGCTGATTCTGATTGCCGTCCTGGGCATCGCTGGCCAGATCTTCCTCACAAAGGCGCTGCAGCTTGAAAAGGCTGGACTCGTGTCCCTGATGAGGACCGTCGACGTGGTGCTGGCTTTTATCTTCCAGTTTATTTTCTTCAATCGTGCGCCGACCTGGTGGAGCCTCGGCGGCGCGCTGTGCGTGGTGGTGAGCACCAGTGGAATAGCCGTTAGGAAGTGGTACAGCAACTCTCGCAAGAGCTGAAAGATTGAAACGACATTCAATTTCTTTTTTTTTTTTAGTTTAGATTTTTTTTTTTCTTTCTCAATAGCACGTTATATGAATTTATTCTGTTATTTGTTGTTTAGGTGAAAACGAGGAAGTTTGGCCTCTTTTTAGGGTTGAAATCAGAATGATAAATTTGACTTCCATATATTTATTCTCCACGGTCAACTTGTGTAATTTACTCTATGCCAGGGCTGTTCAACTAAACTGCTCCGGGGGCCACAGTTTCTGAAAGCCAGCAGCTCGGGGGCCAGACGTCCAGCGATTAAAGTCATTATGTAAATAAACCAAGTTTTACAATGATCTGTTACCTTTTAAATTTGTTTATTTTATTGCATTGAATCATAAATGCAATAAATAGAACCCAAACCCAGACCCCGCCCCTCCCCCCCAAAAAAAAATAAATTTTTTATTATTATTTTTTTAATGAAGTCATGGGTGGGCCGGATTGATGTCATCCACGGGCCGAAAATGGCTCGCGGACCGCTAGTTGAATAGCTTTTGTGTAAAATTAACTCGCCTCTGTAGGAAATAATAATAAATAAATAAATAAATGGCTAAAGTTTTGCAGCTACTTGTACGTAGCTCTAATAAAATGTACCGGAAGTTAAGTTTCAGCTAAAAGAAACCGTTTGATTAAAAAAAAAAAAAAAGTGCAGTCTCATTTTTCATTCACTTAAAGCCCAAAAGGAGACTGGGACTGTTCATATCATGTTGTGCTGCTTAAAAATAATTTTTATATAATTGTGATTTGCACAAAGCACTAATGAAAGAAGAAGTTAGCTGAGCACTTCTATTAGCTACGATTTTAGCTTTTGAAACGGGGCATTTAGTGTAAAAACACTACAAATACTTCAGTTAACGCAAAAACTTAAATCCCTGCACGGGTGGAAGTTTTTCTTGAGAACATTCTGAATAATTGTCTCAGGGATTTGCTTGCATAAATTAATGATTTATATTTGAAGATGGGTTTTTTCACCCATCTTTAAACGATCTGTAGTGTGCCTTAATTTTCAGCATTCTGCCTTATATTGACCATAACCAGCAACCTGTACGGTGCATGCATGGTATGCATAGGTACATGGATTTAAAGTTATTTACTCAAGGAGATTATAGCTCCTAAACATATTTTTTCAGCACACATTAAGGTAGCTAGTACCTACAATATATATTAACTGACAAAGATGGAAAAAAAATGAACGCGTTCTCGTGTTTTTTCTTAAAACTGTCTTATATTTTAAGTTCAGTAAACGTTGCAAGCAGTATAAATAAACATTTGCACCTTCCGTCCACATTTAAATGTAGATTTTTAGATTTACCAAATAAATTTTTTTTTTTTAACTCAGTGTTTGATGCATCTCTTAGACCGTAAACTCGAGGTGTGTGGTTAATTTGTCGGCTCAAGCTTACAAAACGACCGTCAACATTTTGAGTTAAGCAGCAGATCGTTCACTTATTTAGCAGTTTAGTTAGGATTGTGCACACAGCATAAGCATAACTCAATCCATTAAAATGACTCAATCTTTAAAACCATATAATTTTACGGTAATCGCTGCTGAAACTGAATCGCCACATAAACTTTTTATTGGAATCACACGCAACACTTTTTTTTTTCATAAAGTTGTGCATCTGCCCTGAGTTAACTGTTCATATTTTTAATGAAGCTCTCAAGTACCTTTTGTAGCAGCGACCGTGGGCCTAGCTCATCTGTGGTATAAACTGATGTCCTTTCAGCTATAAGTTGTGCACTGATGTGACTTCAGTTTAATACAGTTTGAGGATGGTACAGCAGGAGAAAATAAGCAACTAGTGCTGCTACACTGCTGCCTAATGTCTTCAAATGTCTTTGTTGCTGCTTCTTTGCTCATTAGACCTCTCGAAACATGTCGACACAGCTACACAATTCTTCCCGAGTGTGCTTATGAAGTGACTGATTTGCACATTATTGCTTTTCCATAAAAGCTGCTTCTTAGTTTGTGATTATTACCTCATGTCTCTTCTCTAGGAAGTAAAATTAGAAAGTATTTGTCCTTCATGTCATTAAACTGTCATATACTGACACTTAAATAAGCAATGCACTTCTATGTATGCAGGTAGAACGCACAGTTTTTAACACACTTGATGGCTTATTGATTTTATCTCAATGGAATTTGCTGTGGTTTTAAATAGTTCATTATAAATAATTTAGAAATGGATATTGTGACACAAGTAATGGCTACAACTGTTGTAAGAACAGTTCCATAGTTTGAATGTAAATATATATTTTTATTATGTGGAAAATAATGTATAAATCCAATAAAACTTTAAGGTTTTATACTGAGCTTTAATACTGTTATTTAACTATTTTTATAGAACGATTCAAATAGATGTATTTTCAGTGACAGATTACCTTTAATGTATTACAATGTAATAAATCCACTTTGAATTTATCATTGTCTGCATTTTGATTTACTTGACTATGCTTAACGGGGGATACAACTTTGGTATTACAAAATATGATTTAGTATTTACTTATTGTTCATTTCATTTTTATGTTAAATTTACTTCTTGAGTTTAAATATGTACGTATGTGTGTATGTGTATGTATGTATGTATAGTGTGTGTGTTTGTGGATTTATACATTGTTGTTTACACATTATATTTGAAAATCTAAATTAAAAAAATAAATTTTATACTTTTACTTCTTGTACTTTTTGTGAAATGATATCTGACTACACGTGTTGTAAAATAAATGAATAAAAAAATAAAAGAAAAACATTTAAAGACCATTTAAAATAAAAACCCTTCGCTTTTGTGTCCACCGTAAAGCCTCAGAGCTCTCGTGTGTTGTTGCGCGGCCTGAACCAGCAGGGGGCGCTGTGACACCGAGGCCAAACGCGGTTAAACCAAAGCAGAGGAAGAAGTTGAGATGCGGGAAAACCGAAGAAGAGGAAAAGGCTACTGTTGATGCTACTAAATCGCTAGTAAACAGGGTAAATATAACTTTACGTGCTGTTTTACGATTATACACTAGCGTGATACGTTTCTGTTTGTCAATCTTCAGTTAGGTGACTTGTTTTTATCAACTGTCGAAACCTCAGGTTAAAGAGTGTGCTGTTGTTGTGCAACTATCCTCGACTAATAGCCAGTCAGGAACTTAGCATAATAAATCACACCATACCCTGAAAATGTAACATTTATTTATTGAACATGAGCAACCGAATGTTGTAGTAAAATTATCAAATATTATTAAGCCGTTTGGTTTGCTTGCTTACTTTATATTTTTCTTTCGACTATGGTTTCCAGTTACTTTGTTCGAAAACTCGTAACTTCATTAATTATAAGTATATACGGTCCAACATATTTTACAAAGTAAAATTTTATTATAGTTATTTAAACACGGTTCTGACTAGCTTATTGTAGAAAAGTAAATGCTTTACTTTTATTTCATTGTTCCAGCTTCAGTAATCTGTAAATAGTGTGTTTTTATTTCAAAATATATTTTCATGCACATTTTTATTTCTAAAGTAGCTAATCTTCTTTTGAACGTAATTTCTTACTATTTTCACAATTAACAACAATTACCACTCAAGTCACAGGTGCCGTCACCAAAACAGTTTAAAATAGCTTAGAAACTATTCATAGATATAGGAAAACACCATGTTTACACTAGAACCCAATAATAATATTGACAATATTACACGATATAAAAACAATGGGGGAGTGGTGGTGCAGTGGTTCGATCAGAAGGTTGCCAGTTAAACTCCCCGGACCAACAATGTAGAAAAATAACGTGGGTGGGGAAAGCTGAAACACCCACACCTGCCTCCAATCTGGGCCCTTGAGCAAGGCTTTTAACCCCCACCATCTGCTCCCCTGGGTACCCTATATAACAGCTCTCTGCTCCACACAGGGGGCTGTGGTTGTGTCAGGAAGGGCATCTGCCAAGTCTTCATGCGAGTTCGCTGCGGCGACCCTGAAAAAGGGAGCAGTCAAAAGAAGAAAATAAATAAAAATAAAAACAATAATAGTCATTGTGGCCATTTTTCCTTTTTTTTTAGATACATTGGGGTATTTTCAACCGCATATGTATATTTTTCCTATATAAAATCCTTCAAGTAACATCAGTTGCCAGCCTTGTGCACAATAAACAACTGATCATGAGCTTGTATGTATAAGAATAGGGGTCACTGTTCAGTCAGCAGCAGGACTTCAAAGATATGGTGCAAGATAGTCATAGCACCGTAAAAACATAAAAGCTGTTATCAGCCTGCATTTTGTTTTATCTGTGTTAAGTGCAAGTAGAGCCACACTCAAGTACACCGTTGGACAAAGACAAACATTATTTGTCAAGTATTTTGTCTAGTAGTGTGGAAAAGTTTATGATGAGTAAAATACATTATCATTACTGTAATGCAGTGTCTTGTTTTTCAGGAAAAGTAAAACTGAAGATGCGCCGTATCCATGCTAACTCATCCCTTGCCCCTTAAAAGCAGCTGTGTATAGCTTGAAATGTAAACTCAGCTACACTTCTGTTTTCTGCAATTGTTTCACGTTGACGGCTTATTTTGTCTGCAGTGTTTCACAGTCTGATTTATCGTGTGCAGCCTTTAGGAGTCACCATGAAAACCCCAAAGGCCTCGGAAGTTAAAAAGGGGATTGCAGTCCTGTGGGAGACTCTGCAGTGTCCCATCTGGTGAGAGTCTGTAGGAGCAATAATGTTAGTTTTGTAGTCAAAAATGTCCTCCATCTATCAATTTGTGTTGTCTTTTCTTTAGCTTGGATTTAATGACAACGCCGGTATCTACCAAGTGTGACCATCAATTTTGCAAGTAAGGAGCAGTTGAATGAGATTCCTGAGATGATTCATTAAAAAAAACCCTCAATAAATACAACAGAACTGCCTTGTCTTTCATTCCTACATGATATATTTACTGTTTTGTCAGATTTTGTATTATAAAACTTTTGGATGGCTCCAAACAGAACGGAGCCAACTGTCCTGTGTGTAAATCCAAGGTAACCAAAAGGTTAGTCCAAGTCCATATGATGACACTGCAACATTTATCAGACTCTTTAGAATTGCATTATTATAAGCAGCTGTGTTTTAATATTCTTAACAAATATCTGTTTTTTACAGAAGCTTGCAGGAGAATCTTGGGTTTCAGAGACTTATTACAGGGTTGCAGGACATGATACAAGCATATGAGCATGACACTGGAACAAACTGTAAGCCTTC